CTCGGGGCAGGACCGCCTCGGCTCGAAAGGCGCCCCGGCCCGGGCTTTGGAGGAGCCCGGCCCCCCTGGCTGGCGGCCCCGGCTGGCTGGCGCGCGGCCTTTCGCCCCGGGGTCGGACTGTGTCCACCCGTCCCGTCTGACCCCCGCCATGTCCGTCCCCCTGCTTCTGACTGACGGGAGAGTTCTGCAGATGGAGCTTTTGGGAAGGAGAGAAGGTGCCTTTTCCCTCCCCCGACATCCTAGGAATCGGCAGGAAGGTCACGGATTGGAGATGACTCTCAGGTTGAAGCAGGAAAGACGGATAGGGTCGCTGTTAGCGGCAGGAATAAATAAATGAATAAGTAAAACGCGGGCTGACAGAGCTGTCAGAAAGGAGAGGCAGTCACACTCCGTGCCAAGGGTTGCGATTTTCCAGGGGACGGTGACCCAAGCTCGCTGGGAGCAGTGGTCACCCCTAATTCCAGGCCGCCCTGCATGCTGCCAATGTTCCACTCTGTGCTTTGTGGGAAGTGTAGTTCCAGGGTGTTGTAGGCCTTTTCTGGGGTCATAAATATTCAATTTCGTGGGATATGTAGAATAATTTGTTGCGTTTTGGGTGGTTAGTTCAAACGCTTTAGGGTGTTTAAGAGCACCTCCCCGCCCCCATGCTACCCTTCAGCTAAAGACTAAAAAGAAAGGTGTTATTTGGGGATGATGTATATTTTAAATGGCGAGCATGGGTGAGGTGTTGCAAGCTTATGTTTGTGAAGCTTATGTTATTAAAGCGTCTCAATCGCCATGTGAAAGTAGTTAAATGTAATTTATGTTTCTTTGGTGCTTGGCAGTTGAAAGCTACTTTTATGAACGTGATCTCACTTTTGCCCTCGTAACAACCTTGTGTGGCAGGTAGGTAGGAATTATCCTTGTTTTAAAGAGGAGGCTGGTTTAGGCCGGGCGTTGGTGGCGCACGCCTTTAATCCCAGCACTCGGGAGGCAGAGCCAGGCGGATCTCTGTGAGTTCGAGGCCAGCCTGGGCTACCAAGTGAGCTCCAGGAAAGGCGCAAAGCTACACAGAGAAACCCTGTCTCGAAAAACCAAAAAAAAAAAAAAAAAAAAAAAAAAAAAAAAAAAAAAAGAGGAGGCTGGTTTAGAGGGATTAAGTTGCTTGCTGCTTGACTCAGAACTGGCGGAGCAGGCATACTGGTCGCACTTTTGGAAGTGGAAGTAAACATTTGGTATGGCTCTAGGAAGAATGGAGAATCTGAGGGGAACAAGGCAAGATCTCAGGGTTTGGAGAGAGGTAGGTGTGGACTACTAGCTACAAAGTTGACTGCTTGCCTGTCAGCCCCCATGGAATCACCACTTGACCTTTTGAAGAGATCAATTCCTCAATTTTATTTTTCAATATTTTTATTGTGGTAAGATACACATCACACAAATTATCATCCTAACCATTTTTAATCGTGTAGTTCAGGGTCATTATGTGCATCTACTCTGTTGTGCAATCACCACCATCATCCATCTTCAGGACTCTTCATCTTGCAAAACTGAAATTCTATACCTGTTAAACAACTCCTCATTCCCTCCTCCTTGAATCCCCTGGCAGCCACTTTCCGCTTTTTGTCTCTGAACTTCACGAGCTAACATGTTTAAATGACTTTACACTGTACTTGTCTTTTTTTTGTGTGTGTGTTATATTGTTTTCTTTCATTTAGTATAATGTCTTCAAAGTTTATCCATGCTGTAACATCTGCCATGAATTTCTAAGATTGGATAATGTGCACTTGGATGTAATACATTTTCTTATCCATTCAGCTCTCTTTGGACAAGTTGCTTCCAAATTTTAGTTATTATGAATAATGTTGCTGTAGTCCTGCTTTTAAATCTTTTGGGAATAGACCTTTAACTTTTGAGGAACTGCCTTTTTTTTTTTTTTTTTTTTTTGTGGTGGTGCTAGGAATTGAAAGCAGGGCCTTGCATGTACTGGGCAAGTGCTCTATCACTAGTTACACTCCCAGCCTGCCATTTGTCTTTTTGCCTGTGGCCATACCATTTCACGTTCCCACCAACATTGCATAATGGGCTCCACTTGCCCAGATTATTGTCAATAGTTACTATTTTCTGTATTCTCACTAGTACCATCCTAGGGGATGTCAGGTGGTCTGATTTTATATATATGTAAAATATTTATGTTTTAAAGTTGACATGCCTCATGGTGTTTGGGTTTCTGTTGTAACACTAAGTACATTAAAATCTCAGTTACTGGTAGGGATGGGGTAGAAAATGAGATGAAGAATTAGATAGCATTTTGAAGTGGCTCATGTGTTTGTGTATCTGTAGTTTGTACTTGTATATCAGGTACATTTAAGATGCAGGTAGTATTTTTGGTTAAGAGATTTATTGGTATTAGCAGCAAATGTTAAAGTTAGGAACAGATAGTTCAACTCTAGCTATTCTGTTTTCTTTGGTCAAATTATCAAAAAAATCTGTTGATTTAGCTTCTGTTTTTCTTCAGGAGGGATTGAAGACTTGGCATTTGGTTCTTAGAATAATTTAAGACCATATACATAAGTGCAGGTTAAAAAATTTCAAATGAGGATCTTGACATGGAGGCATATTTTGGTAATCCCAAGCATTTGTAAAGCTGAAGCAAGTGGAGCTCCAGTTTGGGCCTAGTCTGAAGTATATAGCAAAACCCTGTTACACACACACACACACACACACACACACACACACACACACACACCCACTGAAA